GTGGAAAAACTATGCTTACACTATCATTACATTTTACATTACCTCATTTGTTTGGATTTTATGACTATCATCTGTTAACTGTTGTTTGGAGAGATGTGAGGTTATATCAAAAAGGTATACCAAACATAATAAATACTAAAGATAAAGTGTCAACTGTTTCTAAACAAATATTAAATATTTTTACAGTAAAAATACATTGTAGATGAAGCAGAAGTTAAATAAAGTTATGCTCTCTAGAACTTTCGCCAATTCCATAGGTTCATGTTTCAGTTTTTCATTATCTAAAGCATCCCTTTAGTTTTCAGATTTTTCATTCATTTGATATTTTCTTTATTCAGAAAATAATACACATCTGTAATTAAAAGTTAAGCAATACAAATATGCATAAAACGATGTTAGTTATGTCTCATGCTGCTGCCCACAGCCATTCCCTTCAAATGACCCAAATGACCTTCTATTACTTTATTATTTTTTAATTTTTTAAATTTGTTTGAGGCGGAGTCTCTCTGTCATCCAGGCTAGAGTGCAGTGGCGCGATCTTGGTTCACTGCAACCTCCGCTTCCCGAGTTCAAACGATTTTCCCGCCTCAGCCTCCTGAGTAGCTGGGATTACAGGCATGCGCCACCACACCGGCTAATTTTTGTATTTTTAGTAGAGATGAAATTTCACCATGAGGTGCAGGGTTGTCTTGAACTCCTGATTTCGTGATCTGCCTGCCTTGGCCTCCCAAAGTGTTGGGATTACAGGTGTGAGCCACCATGCCCAGCGCAAATGATCTTCCATTACTTTCTACTTCCTCATACATATGTATGCAATTTTATCTCCACCCACGGATATATACACATCTGGGTTTGGAGTTTGTTGTTTCAGACAAAAAAGAATTATGTTACATATAAGAGGCCCTTGCCTTTTTTTTTTTTTTTATCTTGGTATGTATTTTGGATGTGCTGTAAGTCAATAGTTGCAGTCTCCATGTGTATTATACATCACTTACATAAATGTAAACATATATATGATATATTCATTATTCTGGAAATTTTTTCAGTGACATTGGTCTTCTTAAATTTTTTACCTTTTGCTTATCAATTTTCCCTCTCTCATCTCCACTCACACACCCAACCCTACACATCATCTTTCTACCCCTATCCCATTCAGATGATTGGATACTTAATTATCTAGTGTATTTCTTTCTCTCAGTATACACATATATGAATATATTTCATAAATATAGACAAATAGATATAAATAAATATTTTATTTAAAGTTTTAAGTTTTGAACTGTTGTTCTTTTTGGAGCTGTAGATCTACTGACCTCTTTGGTCCATACAGGGAATTGGAGTAAAATCTCTGTTTAGGAGCCAAACATGATTCAATTCCACAGGTGTTTAGGGTTTTTAAGGCTCTTCAAAGGGACTGGAAGAACTCAGCGTTCTGGGTTTTCCTCTGTCAATATTTTTCCTTTCAACCTTGTTAAGGTGTAATTTTTGCAATTGCCTTTTGCTACCGAACCAGAAATTTTGCTCTATACTGCCATATATTAATGTGCCTTTACAGACTTTTCTCAACCTGTTATCACTGCCACAGCTTTAGTGAAAATGCCCCCTCTGACATCTCATGGTGCTGTATTTCTAAACTATCAGAAAATTTTAAGCTTCCTGCCACAATTTACTCAGTATAGTTTCTGGATATTGCATAATAGGTCAATTATAACAGTGTTCTATCCACTTTCGTACAAAACAAACTGGCTTGAGAGTTGGTAACTCTGAGGTAAACAAGTACAAAATAAATAAATGTAGGACAGCATTTGTGATCAAATTGTAGGTCTGGAGAGCAGTGATGGTTTTCAAGCTTACTCACCTGTTTATTTTTTAGGATGCTGAACATTTTAGACTTGATGGAGTATCTCTGACAAGGCCGGTCAACAAAAGATAAAAAAGGTTTTCTGTGATCTGTCTCCGAGTGGAACATATGTAGAATTCTTCAGCAGGAAACATAAGCAGGTACTTTATAATAAACTGTAAATGAGCATTCTACAAGAAGCAGCACATAGCTACTATTCTAGTAGATCACAAGGGTTAGACCTTAGAGCTTCATCAGGTAGAAACATATTGGCCTTTGTTTGCAAATTCTGGGACTATTCTGCTTCATTTTGTTCAGGTGGCTACAACGGGATCCATCAACTCCTGTCAGGGCATGAAGATCTTACTCAAAATGGCTGCTCCTATGGCAATCGTGTGAATGGCATTTAGGGTCCATCCTAACACATGAGGGACTGGAGAGACTCTCCCGTACCTAACCACTCAGGCCTTTGTTGCTTTATCGTGATTGCATTTATGATATTTTATCAACCCCTCTTGATGTTCACCTCTGTGAGGACAGGGAACACACCAATCTTATGGACTATAATTGTCAGCCTCTGGCTCAGTGCCAGAATTTATGTTATTACTCAAGAAATCATTTTTGAAAGAATCCATATTGGAAGAGAAAAAGATTGTTAAGAAGTTTCTCTTTCTAGGAAGTTGGTGGGCCCTTGATTTTCCTGCCATGACTCCCTTTTCATTTCCTTAACTTTTATCTGTTCCTTCCCTGATTTGCAAACACTTTTTTTTCCATTCATTTATAATTATTGGAATACTGTATGATACAGTCTGGCCCTGTTTCCCCTCCCCAGATCTCATCTTGAATTGTATTTCCTATAATCCTGACATGGCGTGGGAAGGACCCAGAAAGAGGTACTTGAATCATGGGGATGGTTACCCTTATGCTGCTGCCCTGACAGTGAGTGAGTTCTCATAAGGTTTTACAAGGGGACTTTTTGCCCTTGTGCTCATTCTCCTTCTTGATGCCACGTGAAGAAGGATGAGTTTGCTTCCCCTTCTGCCATGACTGTAGCTTCCGGAGGCCTCCCCAGCTCTGTAGAACTGTGAGTTAATTAAATCTCTTTCTTTTACAAATTACCCGGTCTTGGATATTTCTTCATAGCAGCGTGAGAATAGACTTCATGCACTGTATTTCTGAAGTAATGACAAACTTTATCCAATCACTTTCTATATTGAAAGCTCAGTTTTCTCCTGAGTTGCAGGAGAAACTGCAACTATAAAACAAACTGCCAGTACAAATCTTTATTTGGCCCTCCCAAAGATGACATTTATGTGTACTCAAGTGAACTTTTGCAGCTCTAACTTGTTTGTCCCCCAAATGTTCCGATTCCCATATCACATATACCATTAGTTCCACAATCAGTCATTGACTGTCCTGTTCATTGTTTATTGTGTGCACTGTTTTATTGCTTAGCTCCCTCCATTCTCACAGCACGTGGGCATGTTCTTTAACTTCTATCCCCTAGTTATCTATTTGATCTAGTCCCTTATAGGAATCTTAGTGGCTGTTTTTTACATTAAGACCTTGCATTGGCTGCTTACGCAGCCTCCAGGATGGTCTTCAGGTCTGTGGTCATATTCATTGGCTATCTTTCCTTCAATGGAATGCCATAATTATTTGTATGAAACATGCATTTCTTATTGGATTTGATTTTTCCATAAGTTATTGGGGTACAGGTGGTATCTGGATACATGAGTAAGTTCTTTAGCGGTGGTCTGTGAAGTTTTTGTACACCCATCACCCAAGCAGTATACACTGCAACATATTTGCAGTCTTTTATCCCTCATGCTCCTCTCATTCTTCTCTCCAAATCCCCAAAGTCCACCGAATCATTCTCATGCCTTTGCATCCTCATAGCTTAGCCCCCACATATCAGTGAAAAGACACTATGTTTAGTTTTCCATTTCTGAGTGATTTCACTTAGAATAATTGTCTCCAGTCTCATTCAGGTAAAGGAAAATATCACAACTTTCTAAAATATTATCCAATGCACCGATCGCAAACTATACATGGCCTTGATGTTCTCAATATCTCTTCACTGCCCAGGACTTCATGTCTTGCCAGTGACTTTGTCCACTTTTCTCTCAAGAAATAACATCAGTTTATGACTTTGCAATCCGATACCTTTTTCACAGTTTTACATATTTGTTCCTGTGCCTGACATACAATTTACCTCTAATATGTTTTTCATTGGTTAAAAATCTATTCAAATGTAACCTTCATGAGAATATTTTTGACTCTCCCTTTGCTCAACAATCTCCTCCTTTTGCATTCAAACATGAGCTTCTCCTCTGTGCTCCTGCTTGGCCGTTACATCACCTATTGTGTTGTAGCTTACGTGTTTATTTACATATTTGATTTTCTGCTTAAAATCTCTTTTTCCGTAAGTAACACTAAGACTTAGCAGGAAGTCCTATACAGAAATTCCTTAATAAATATTTATTAAGTGAATAATTAATAAAATTTAAAGAATAAATGACATTGGACAGGCAAGGGAGGGTAAGTTTAATTAAAAATAAACCTAGAGCTTCCTACTCATGAAATATACCAAAACGTAATTTGCCTGGTAAATTATGAAAATACATCAGTTTGGAAAAGAAAAATGTACTTAATCTAGGACATTGATGTGGATTTAGTGCGAATTTAATAATGTGTCTTTCTTGTCTAGAACTAGATTTAATTATTAAGTATTCTTTTTTTAATTTTTTTTTTGAGATGGAATCTCACTCTGTCACCCAGGCTGGAGTACAGTGGTGTAATCTCGGCTTACTGCAACCTCTGCCTCTTGGGTTCAAGTGATCCTCCTGCTTAGCCTCCCCAGTAGCTGTGACTATAGGCACCCACCACAACACTTAGTAACTTTTGTATTTTTAGTAGAGACAGGGTTTTGCCATGTTGGCCAAGCTCGTCTTGAACTCTTAACCCTAGGTGATCCACCGGCCTCTTCCTCCCAAAGTGTTGGGATTATAGGGAATCATTAACAATTCTAATTGGGGTAAACAAATAAAGAGAATGTACTAGAACAGAACTCCTGTCTAATAAGAAAACAGACTGAATTGTAGATATTCAGTCAATACCAGAGAATAAGCATGTACTATTATCATACTGGTGGCAACAGTCAAATCCATACCCCACCACCACAGCCACATCTGCAGCCACCAGGATTCTAAAGGCACCAAAGCCAGAGGTATAACTATATTTGCAGTCACAGCCATAGCCCAAACCTCCACAGTAGTTGCCATAGTAGCTTATTGGGTCATTATTTAAGTCTCTAGCCTAAGAGGCAAGAGTAAGTTTTAGTGCATACGTTTTAGTGAAAATTTTCCTTCATCACTGACCTTTAGGGTCATCCCTGATTTGATCTGTTTTACTTTAGCCATAGTCAGTGTCAGCATATTGGCAAAACCATCTGTAATCTGGGACAAAATTTTCCTTCTATTTTAGCATAAGAACACTAAAATACTATGAGTCTTTTACCAGTCTCAGTGGAGGTGTGACAAACCACAGGCACTCCTGACATTCTCATATAGGCCAACCTGTATTTAAAAATCTCATTAATCTTATATCTTTAGATTTAAAAAAAGACTCCACATCCTGATAAAATTGAGATTTACTTCTCAGTACGTCACAATCCTGCCAAACAGTTGATAGGCTTTAAAGGAAAAAAAATGCTGAGTTCAATGACCTTGCTCACACTGACGCTGAATTTAACCTTTGTAACTATGCTGCATGACATCACGTGGAGGAGGCAAACGCCATCCTCTTCCGATCACTTTGCTAATAATACCCTTCTTCTTATATGCATATTTAAATCCTAATCAACACAGCTGTGATGTTATCTATGTAAATCTCAGTAGCAAATAAAATGAATTCTTGAATACTATGGGTTTGAACTGCACAGATAGCTTATATTAAGCAAAATGTTTTCACCTCTGCCACTTCGGCAGCAAGATCAACCCCTCCTCCTCCTCCTGCTTCTTAGCTACTCAACATGAAGGCCATGAGGATGAAGACCTTTACGATGATTCACTTTCACTTAGTGAATAGTAAATATATTATCTCATTTTCCTAATTTTTAAATAATATTTTCCTAATTTTTAAATAATATTTTCCTAATTTTTAAATAATATTTTCTTTTCTCTAGCCTACTTTATTATAATCTATCATATGGGTAACATAAACATGTATTAATCAACTGTTTCTGTTATTGGCAAGGCATTTGGTCAACAGTAGGTTATTGATAGTTAAGTTTTTTGGGAGTCAAAAGTTATACTCAGATTTTCAACTGCGTAGGGGTTGGCACACCTAACACCTGCGTTGTTCAAGGGTCAACTGTGCTTTATTCTGTACAAACTCCCACCAATCACATATTACTCTGTATCCGTAGACACCATAGTAGTTGCCATAGTAAATCATGATGTCAGAAATGGATGGTTCAGGTGTAGAAGAGGATGTTTTTGAACTTGAACATCTCCATCTTCACAGGTCTTTTATACGTCCTCAGTAGTAGGTGTGGCAAATCACAGGCAATGTTGCTCTTATGAATTATTTTGGGTTGACCACTAATACCACCAAAGCAAAGCTCTCATAAATCTCTTATTTCATTAGGCATAGTGAAGCCTTCATAGCTAGGATTCCTCTATTGCTGTATCAAGATTTTCACAATCAAAGAATGCTATTTGAATGTTAGATTTTTTTTTTTACCTGATTTTAAAATTCTTTTTCTGTGAGAGCACATACTAAAATTTCATGATGAGATTCTAAGAAATAACAGAAACTATGCAAATCTCATCTGATTCAAATTAGTTTTGGTTTGTTAATTCCCTCATATTCATCTACCAGTTGCAGTTGAAGAAGTCTGTCTGCATGGCTTTGGGGAGACAGAAGTGCTTAAGGGGCAAGTCTTTGGAGTGTGAGATCTGTGATAATATCCAACATTTCTTCAGAGACAGAACAGTTTATCTTACTTTAAATACATAATTCAGGTAACATTTTTACAAGATACGACTTTACAAATGTACAAATACACTTTATTTTACTTTTATATCCAATTCTATCTTGATCCATTATTTCCACTAAATAGCACAACATTTATTATTGTCCCTTCCAGGTAAACTTAACAAAATTCAATCACTTTCTGGTTGTCGGTATTAAAATACAATTGCATTAAAGACATCGCCACTCCTCATTCTCTGCCTGAGGAGTACCTCAATGTTCAGTGGCATCCTGTTGGTTTTGAGGAGAACCATACCTGTCCCGCATTGATATCTGTGGATGGCATAACACATACTGCCATATTCCATTGCCATAAAAATAAAACTCTGCTCAATCCATTACCTTGCATTAAATGTTACATCCTTGTTGGTCTACGGCCAAAAAAGTCTTGGGTTGTGGTAAAAAAATCAATGAGTCTCCAGTCAAATCCACGTGGATGAGAATTAGTCATTGTATCGCCCCCTGCTTGTGCTATCTTTGTTGGGGAACTCGGTAGGACTTGCTCCTTCTCAGTAAGACCAGATGTGACTTTCTCTATTTTTAGATGTACATTCTCAATGCCGTTTCTCTTCCTTTCAGCTTCAAGGAGGTAAGGCCCCTAAATGAAAACTTAGGCATGCCTGAGTTCTTTTATTCAATTGATCAACTCTCTACTGAAGTTTCTATCCAGAAAAACAGTAATGGATGAAAGAAATAAAAACAGAAAAATTTATTCTAGTATTCTAGTTTTTATTACGAATGAAGCACTATTCTAAGTGTCTGACATGTATCAAAAGATTTGATTCTCAAAATTTCCTTGTGGGGTAGTTATCATTATTACAACCAAATTTGCAGATGGGACAACTGAAGCATGTAGTTAACAGTAGAGAGAAAATTTGAGCCTAGAAAGCTCATCACAGACATTTTACTCTTATCTACTACTTTCAACTCACTCTCAAAAAGTCATCTTACTAAGAATATAGGTCTAGGGGACTATTCGATTTAATCATTCAATTTAGCTCTGATATTCACTGCTTGGATTAAAGATTGGCCTATAGTATCATGTTTCTCATAGTCTCATATTTTGCCAAAGACTTCTTGTTTGATCGTGGAAATATACTAGGTTCTATGAGATGATACTTCTGCCAATATTATTCTTTTAAATATGAAAATACCTATACTCACTTTTCAGCCAGAACACAAATATGACAAATGTCTTGAAATTTCAGGAAAATTTTATAAAAATGCAATTTTGTAAATAAAATGAAAACTCATTGATTAAAAATTTGAAACTGTGGGAAAGAACTGTTGTTTTAAAACAGAGTTACAAAAGGAAGTATTGATGTGAGAGAGAAAAGTATAGTTTTCACATGCCTGATATTTCAGAATTTAAAACTATTGGCTTTGTATCAACAGTCTCTGGAAGCTGAGTGACACTTTTTGAATTTTAATAGAAAACTATCACTTATGTGGAAATGAGAAGAATTCCTAAAGGAAAACAATGAATTTGGAGCAGCAGGAAAGAGATGGAGAAACTCAAGCTCAAGGGAGATTACCATAACCTGTTGAATGTCAGCAAAAATAAGGTAAAATTATTGGTTGTTTTGAACAGACCAGTTTGTTTAGTAATATGCTATTTCTTTACATAAAGTCTGGTTAAAAAATGGTAATTTGAATATCTGGTGTAAGTAGAATTTTAAAGGTCAGACAGTTGATGCTTATTAAAGTTGTACAAATGATTCAGATGTGGCTGAACAATAGAAAATGTTTTAAATGCCACAAGGTCACGCTTAAAAAACAAGAGTCAACAGATTACTCACACTGGTCCTTCAAATTAGCCAATGGTATGACTTGCTTGTGGTTCCCACCCACTCTGAGACTTATAAAAGGCCCTCTGCAGGGGAAATGTTCATACTGAAGTCACCTACACTTCCTCCTACCCAAGGACAACCTCCACAACCATCACCATGTGTGGCAGCTACTACGGAAACTACTATGGCGGCCGTGGCTATGGGTGCTGTGGCTACGGAGGCCTGGGCTATGGCTATGGAGACCTGGGCTGTGGCTATGGCTCCTGCTGTGGCTGTGGCTTCCGCAGACTGGGCTGTGGATACGGCTGTGGTTATGGCTACGGCTCCCGCTCCCTCTGTGGCTGTGGCTATGGATGTGGCTCTGGCTATGGCTCCGGCTTTGGCTACTACTACTGAGGACACCGTGGGAGACTCATCGTCTATCCTGTGACATCTGGATTCACCAGTTCTGAACCTCAGATGTTTTGAGCTCAGGATTGGATGAAGATTCTCTTATATTAAAAGTTTCTGATGTTATTTTTCTGAAGATCTGCCCCTCAACACCACTATCCTCTGGATCTAATATTTTCAACTTCCTTTTTTGAATGTAATGCTTGAAAATTAAAATAATGTAAAATTTATCCTATGAGCTCCTGTGTGGTCTCTTATCAAGATGCTGCTGCTATAGATTTTGCTTTTTAATTTTCATGCAGAAACTTATTTTCTGTTTTCCTAATATGCTTTTTCAATCTGGAATTACCCTTCTGATTTTCTTTTCATTAATATCCAGTATTTACCTTTTTATCTTTTTTTCCTTATCTATATTATCCTAACAATGTCTCAACATAACCCATATTATCACTGCTTCAATAGAATAGAAAACTGAGCACTGTGGAAAACTGAGCATGAACAGAGCAGAAAATCATGTATACTCTAATGGTTGATTCTTTGCATATAAAAATCATTTACTGTCAAACTTGTTCTATGTAGTTCATGTCAAAACTCTACATAAATAATTTATATTTATAATCTAAATAACCATAATTAAGTAGTATTTATTAGCCATTTATCAAGGAGCAATCACTGTGCCGAGTCTTTAACGTGCATCATTTCAAATGAGCCTCAGAATGTGAGGGGACGGAAGGCAGCAAACCACACTGCCATGTGTGTACCTATGCAACAATCTTGCATGTTCTTCATATGTACCCCAAAACCTAAAATGCAATAATTAAAAATAAAAAAAATAAAAAATAAAAAATAAAAATAGAATGAATCTATGATGCTTTAAAATTATCCCTGTTTTCCTGTAATCCCAGTACTTTGGGAGTCTGAGATGGGTGGATCATTTGAGGTCAGGAGTTCAAGACCAGCCTGGCCAATATGATGAAACACCATCTCTACCAAATATGTAAAATATTGGCTGAGCCGTGTTGGTGCACACCTGTAATCCCAGCTACTTGGGAGACCGAAGAGGGAGAATTGCTTAAACCTGGGAGGAGGAGGTTGCAGTGAGTTGAGGTTGTGCCACTGTTCTCCAGCCTGGGCAACAGAGCTAGACTCTGTTTCAAGAAAAAGAAAAATAAAACTATTCCCATTTTAGAGCTGAAGAGAAGCAAAGAGAAATAGAGTAACTTTGTTATTGGCAGGTTTAGTGTGGCAAAAGACATATTTCATACCCAACTGTTCGTTGTCTCTTTATATATTCATAGAAAATATTTACTTTCCTTGAATCTAGATAATTGCAGGGATTGTTTAACCATTAAATGCAAAGTTTTCTCCTAGAATAAGCTTAGTTATTTCTATCATTTAATGTTATTGACTAATATTAAATTAAAATTATCTGAAGAACAATTTTGTTTTTTGCCCCTCTGCCCAACAAAAATCTTTCATTCCACTTTTCTCTGCTTTTTAAATTTATGCTTACCATTTTATTTATGAAATTTCAGCTCACACATCAGACATCTAGAATCTTTTATGCATATCTCTTATGTTATTGGCACAATCTTTTTATGCCTTTTCTCCAAATTCTAGGAAAATTTCCCAATCCCTTTTCTCCATCTCATCTCTTGTTAAGTCTTCTGCCTTCAGTATTTTTTCTTAAAATAACTTTATCATGACAAATACATATTTCCTCTTTTTAGGTTTGATATTTGCTTATACAGTTGCTGTAGCTCTATGCATTTCATGGCTCTCAAATATTATACATTTTAGAATTTGAAAAAAATTCTAAATGTGTCAAAGAGTTTTTTCTTCTTTTACACTACTGTTTTTGAAAAGTAGGCTCATCATGAGTGCTTAGATTGATCCTTTGATTTTCATAGCTATTTATTTCACATGGTTTTCCTCTTAAAAACAGTGATCTGTGTACATACTACTTAGGATAAAGATTTGTTCCATTAGAACTTATGTGTTCATAGGCAAATCCTTTGCATACAAACAATTATAAAGAAAAAGTGTTAATACTTCAATTTTATTATTTCTGTTTAGCAATGCCTATTATTTTCAAGGGTGGTCACACAGTTTGAGCAAGTGAAGGTCGTCATTTCCAGCACCATGTAACACATGTTTTTGTTCATGTTTGTTGTGACTGATCCATGCTACATGTTGGTGATGTTCCACTTCAATTTCCTTCAATCTTTTCCCTAGGTGTTTATCTTTCTTACATAGAATTTTAGTCTATTGGCATTTTTTCTCATCCAATCTTGACAATATGTCAAGAAGAAATACTCCCAAGATTATTATTTTTATTTAATGGATTAATATACATTTTGTACTATATGTTGAATTAAGGTAAATACTATAATTTACTTTTAAATATTACAATGGTTTTTAGATGTATTATCTAAGAGTCTTTAAACCACTTTATTGAAGTATTATTGACATATAATAAGCTGTACATACTTCATATATACAACTTGGTGAGTTTGGAAATAAGTGTACATCTGTGAAAGCATCATCTCAATCTATGTTATAAATATATCTATACTTGCCAAAAGTTTCCTCCCATACTCTCTAATATTATTGTTGTGTTTTGTGATAAGAACACGTAACATAATAGCTACCACATTAGCAGATTTTCAGATAAGATAATAGAAAAAGTTACAAATCCAGGGAAATTTAAAAGCAATTCTTGAAAAACCACTGGTAAAAAAAAGAACTCAGAAGAGAAATTAAAAAGTATCTCAAGACAAATGAAAACAAAAACACAATACACTAAAACTCATGGGATGCAGCAAAAGCAGTACTAAGAGGGAAGTTGCTAGTGATAAATGTCTACATTAAAAAGAGAAGGAAAACCACAAGAAACGGAAACTATAGATGGTTATTCCTGATGAACATGAATACAAAAATTCTTCAACACAATATTGACAAGTTATATTCAAAAGCACATGTGTTTTCTTTATTTTGGAAAGGTTTTCATTCAAGGTTGAACACGTCGGTGCACACAGAAACAACTGCAGAATGGTAGCTTTATTTGCTGGGGAGATGGACTATGGGCCTTGATTCAAGAATATTTTATATTCGTCATTCATAACTTTTTAATGTTTATTTCAATTTATTGTAAATTGTTTAAATTCCCTGATGCCTATCAATATCTGGTAACCCTAATGTCTTAATAAAGATTTTTCAGGTAAATCTGGCCATCTCCTATGAAAGCTTAGATTTTTCTTAATTGTGATAATTTTTTGTTGCCTGATATTACAGGCTCTTAGATTTGACTCTCCAGAAATAATAGAATTGTGTGAAGACAGATAAAGCTAGTTTAAAACTTTACATTATTCCTCCTACTACAGAATTAGAATATGTGCATTTTAGCTACTCATTTCATTTATTCCCTCTAACATGTTTATCTCTCCAAACTTGCAAAACATGTTGAAGTAGCTTAAAGAAAAACATAAAGAAATGGGAAAACACCTAGTCAAAAAGAAATCTGAAATTATAAGCAGTGATTATGCATAGGTTTTAAGGCATTCCAGAGTCTGTGCCATTTATTTTTCTGGATCTTACATGAGAAGGAAATACTTACTCTACTAGATGTCTCAGTTTAGAGAGCTCTTCCACATCACAGAGTTTTTCCCACTTATTCTCCATATCTATTATGCATCTGCCCCAATTCAGGCATTCATTTTAAGAATATGGGTTGTAGAAATGAAAAGGTGGAAAAGGTCTCTATTGTCATGGAACTTATGGTCTTGAATGGGGCAGGCAGGGAGGGAGAGACAGTGAGAGACATAAAATAGACAAGTAAATTCTGAAATGAATACAGTAACTCCTGATAGTAATGAGTACTTGTAAAACAATAAAAATCAATGAGTTAAATAAACTTCTAATCATTTCTTGAAGAAGTCAATTTTAAATTGGGTGGTCAGAGAAAACACAGCTTAGGAGATGGCACTTAAGTTGATGCCTGAATGAGATGAAGGATTCAGTTATTCTTTCTGATATTCTCAAAAGGAGAAATCAGCAGTGCAAAGGTAAAAGTATTAAAGAGGGTAAAAACTTAGTCTTTGGAGCTACTGAAGAGCCTGTGTTTGAAGCATGGTAAATGAGGACAGTGGTAGGAAGTGATGTCAGGGAGGTAGGATAGAATTTTGAAAAACATTTCTTTCTAAATGCAATGGGAATTCTACAAAAGATATGTTCCAGGAAAAGGCTGTGATGTGATTTTCATTGTGCCATAAGACTGAGATAGCAGAAGAGAAAACATTTGGTGCCAGGAGAGATCATAAGCTCTGTCTTAGTGATGTTAGATTTCATATATAAAAGGACAAATATAAAGAACATACAAGGTGAAGAACATAATTTTGAGATTGAGGTCAAGTTGCGAAGAAGAAATTACTGAAAAGGTGAGGTTGGAGACAAACAAGATCGTACAGTGCAACAGATACAGAATTTGTCAGTAAGGAAGAGAGGGTTCCACTGACCTGAATATTGTTTCAGAGCTTCAGCAAAATGAAGACAGAGAAACAAACCATATTTGGATCAGGCAAGAAAGTATTATAAATATATTCCAAATGGAGTGGTGGGTCAGAAATTCAAAAGATTGAGAGAAAAGGGGATAAGAAAGTGGAAGCAGTAATCTTAGAAATGTATTTTTGAAATTTCCTGTGAAGAGGAAAAGTGAATTAAGAAAGTACCCTGGGGAACCAAGGGGGTTTTCTTAGGAAAAGATTAATTTGTTTAATTTGGTTTCATTGGATATAATGAAGCATTCATGATATTTCAGAGCACCAAGGAAGCAAATATATGTATTTATGGGAATGTCATAGTATATAAATAGACAGAACACAGAGGATTTTTGGGGCAGTGAAACTATTCTGTATAATACTACTGTGGTGAATGCATGTCATACATTTGTCAAAACCCACAAAATATACAACACCAAGGATGAACCCTAATATAAACTATGAACTTTGAGTGATGATGATGTGTCATCGTAAGTTCATTTGTTGTAACAAATGTACCACTGTGGTGCAGAATGTGGATAATGGGAGAGATTTGGTGTTGGGAAGGACTGGAGTAAGTATATGGGAATTGCCTGTATTTTCTGGTCAATTTGCTGTGAACTGAAAATTGTTCTAAAAAGTAAAGTTCATTAATTAAGAAAATAACAATACTATAGCATATAAAGTACTCATTG